GGCGCATTTACGTTGTAGATGTCTATGGGCTCCAGTAACCACTTAACACCAGGTGGACTGTGAGCTCGTCCACCCATATAAGCATAAAAAAAAAAACATGAAATAAATATTGATTATAATTGTTATATAAAAAAAAATTGCAATACGTTGATAATAAATTAAATTTCCACTCAGAATTTCAATAACAAAAAAAAAGCTCAGTAGAAAACATATTTTTATCTGAAAAAATATTGTGCGGTCCTTGATTGGATTCAGTTGATTTTCTGTGGAACAGAAATTTAAGTGTAGTCAGCCAAATCATTGTTTCAATATGAATTTTTCGAGGAAAAAAGCCTGTGCTGATTGAAAATTTAATGTTTTTGGAAATAAATGTCGTTGAGCGCGCCACATAATAAAAAGATCGCAGGTTCGAGACTGTGTATGTACTACCATGCCAAGTGATTATAAGTGAAGGAATATCGTGTAAGAAAAATCAAAAACATAATTATCAATTATCAATATTATCAAAAAACAAAAAAATTACATTATAATTTGCGTAATTATTCGTATAAGTAGATACCACCGCTCTGCGCTTATGCCGTGAAGCAGTAATCTGTTTCGATTTTGAAGTGTAGGGCAGCCGTTGTAACTATACTTGAGACCTTAGAACTTGTATCTCGAGGTGGGTGGCGCATTTACGTTATAGATATCTATGGGCTCCAGTAACCACTTAACACCAGGTGGGCTGTGAGCACGTCCACGAATCCAAGCAATAAAAAAAAATCCTATAATTAAGATACCACCGCCCTGCACTTATGCCGTGAAGCAGTAATGCGTTTCTATTTGAAGGGTGAGGCAGCCGTTGTACTGTAAAGCTAAGACTTAGAACTCATGTCGGCTTCGGTATTAACTTTGTTGATATCTATAAGCTGCGGTATCCACTTATCACCAGGTGGCTGTGATTCATGAGCTCGTCTACCCATCTAAGGAATAAAACAACTGCGACGTTAATGATATTCCAAAGTATTTTGTTAGTTCCACCCAGTATCTCCCAGTCTCACCAAAAGTATTTCATTAGCTATTACACACCGGCAAATATTGAACTGTAATTATAACTGAGCTGAAATCTTTCAATTCGTGACTTCGAGTTTCTATATTTTTATATTTGTGTTACCTTTACATATGCGCAGTACTTAGCTTAAATTAACTAAAAAAAATTTTGTTATCTTGTGGATACTCAATTAGTACTACCATCATTCCAATATGCGGGATCGCATTGTCAAATTTAAGTACAATCAGTCTAACAGTTATTAAACTCTCTCTAAAACAAAAATTACTACAAAAAACAATACATTGTACTTCTGCATACCCGAACAAGCCCACAGATCGTCTGAAGAACAAATAACAAAATTAAGTTAATACAACGCCTGAGCTTTACAAATAAAAGCAAAATACGCGCACCAAATTCAAGATAAGTTTCTCGATAAATCTTTGAGACGTGGAGAAACAAAGTTTTATATGTACACATATTTTGAGCCGGCTAAATGGATTGGCGTTCCCAGCAGACCGGTTAGGTCGACGCGGTCACCGCAGAACGGCCTGTGGATCTAGCGTTTATGTCATCTCTGAAGTCTGGATTCTGTGATTTAATGTAAATACCTACATACGAGTATATACGTCGGAACGCTTTCTATATAATATTATCTTTCGTCTAAATTTCGATGTATCTTTCTAAATTAATAAGGCACTAATAATGACCGAGCTTTGTTCGGTATTTTTACCCTAACCGGGAAAAAACGTCCGTAACGTAAGATTTTTATTAGTAATGCACACAGTGTACGACTTTACTTTGTAATAACATACAGAAAATAACATATTTTTTATTTTATCATTCATTGATCACGTTCGCTTGCGCAATACACTAACTCATAAGCAAACAACCGTGAATGAAGTGTACCACAATAAGTTCGCACGTTACCGAATGACCGTGGGTTGTTGCGAAACCTCCAGTTTTATTTTCTTTGTACCTCGAATAGAACTTAAAATTAATATTTTTATAATAAGGAACTTCGTTCCTATCCGGTGTCCCACGACACCACACATCTTTTTTTTGCTAAATTGTGTTTTTTAGAAATTGTATTTAGATACAAATTACATATTGATAAAATGATGAAATATGAATAATATTTTTCGATCTTACCGACAAAATAATAAATATTAACTGGTAATTAAAGAAAAAACCAAAATTATCGATAAAGTTAATTATTGAGAACACGAATAAAACAACATTTTCTGAAAATAAATCGTAACTAGATCGATTTATCGCCCCTGAAATCCCCTGTATACTAAATTTTATGAAAATCGTTGGAGCCGTTTCCGAGATTCAGATTATATATATATATTAATATACAAGAATTGTTCGTTTAAAGGTATAAGATACACGATATACACACAATAAATATTAATTCTTTAACTACGAAATAGCCTTTTAGTGCACATAAAGATAATAATATATTGGTGTATATTTTAAGTCAAATATACACTTTTGATGGACATTTTTATTTGATTTTATTTTATTCTTTTTAATAAAAAACACCAATGATTTCGATGACCTGCTTGAAGAAGTCAGACGATCGGGAGCCAACACACTCTTTAAACGAAGTTTGAACTGCCTCTTGGGTATTGTCTTTTTTTCCTGCCAAGAAGCTATCCAAACTTCGAAAAAAGTAGAAGTCCGTCGGCACAACGTGTCTCGTGAGTACGGTCTGTTATGAGCCACAGGATATTTAGCTTTTTTAAAAAAAGGTAGGCAGCGACTTAGCTCTGCTCCTGGCATTGCTGACGTCCATGAGCGATGGTGACCACTTACCATCAGGTGGGTCGTATACCTACATATATCGAGGCAATAAAAATACAAATAAAAACTTTATTTATGATTCGACCGTCTTGGATGAGGAGATGAAGGAGACTGACTCACCAACGTGAGCCCGATATAGGAGTATTATGAAGGGTGTTGAGGTAGCGGGACAGAGTCCATAGTTAGCAAGCAAGAAGGAGTGCAAAGGGAAGCTATAACAGGTCGATGACGCAACACTTCCAACTCTAGTTATTGTAGCTTAGAGACCGTATTTGTGCTGTATGAGGACAGCATTGTCGTTTAGGAGCAGCGGGATAATAAATCTCCGCAGTGCTGAATAAAGAAGCTGTGATGAGTGACGAATTTTACCGCCACTAGACCACCACGCCACACCACACCACAGTGATCATAACATTTCTAGGGCTAAGCTTTCGTTTGGGGCATTGCTGAGGTGCTAAACCAAGGTGTAACTAACATGATGACCGCTGTTAAAATAGCGTATTAAAAATAAAGTCACTCGCGATTAACCGTGAAAAATCGTAACATTACAAATCGTATTATGTTTCCAAATTTCAATAACAAACAACTTGATTTATTTATTCGGGCACTAAATTGTTTCTGCTTAATTTAAATTAAATCAGACGATAGACGATCGAGCTTTCGTTATAAAATGCGAAGGTCGAATCAGCCATCATCGGACCTTGAGTGATATGTGACTTACCAACTGTTATAAAACATATGTCAGGATAAGCGCAGACTTTTTTTTATTGCTTCAAAGGGTGGACGAGCTCACAGCCCACCTGGTGTTAAGTGGTTACTGAAGCCCATAGACATTTACAACGTAAATGCGCCACCCACCTTGAGATATAAGTTCTAAGATCTCAGTATAGTTACAACGGCTACCCCACCCTTCAAACCGAAACGCATTACTGCTTCACGGCAGAAATAGGCAGGGTAGTGGTACCTACCCGTACGGACTCACAAGAGGTCCTACCACCAGTAAAACTGCCTATGTTGTAATTCTTGTAAACAACCTTACGGTGAGATTGTGTAAAAATTAAAAAAACTGAAACCATTATGTTTCATTTCTTAGAGCTGATGTGACGTGTATTTTAATTTTTTTCTGGGTGGGGAGAAATTTTCGGATGCTGTTCTTTTGCTCACGAGCGAGAAAAAGCAGTTGATCCTCTTGAATTCGATCGAATCAGTAATTTCTTTGGAAAGTCGGTAAAAAGTTGGACCGGTGATATAATGGCGGTTACTACGTCAGATCGATCCTTATTGCGGACTTTTTAGGTTATGTTTTCCAGTGTACCCTTTGGATCAATTTTTATTATTGCTCGCTGATAGTGGTCAGTATTTGTTAGACAACAAATGTTTCATAAAAATCATCAAAACTGCTTAATTGATATGGATCAAAATAGCCCCGCAGAATTTTTTGATTGCCAAAAACAAAAAACCTGCCATTTTGAATACGCTTTTCTTAGCTTCAGACGTATGTATGTAACGGAATCTTTGAATATGGTTTTGACCCCCTTCAAAACGTCGGATTAACTCGAAATTTGGTATACTTATTAAGGACCGATAAGAATTCAATATTTAAAACGCTTTTATAGAATATCCAACAAAAAATAGAAAATAAATTTTAATAAATTTAAATTAAAAATAGTGTAAGAAAAAATGATTTTATTGTAAAAAAAAGCGTGGGGTGCATGGTATCAGTAGTTATAAATATTTTATGAACAGATATGAGTAGGAGCGTTATTTTGATAACCCCACGCTTTTTTTACAATAAAATAATTTTTTCTTACACTATTTTTAATTCAAATTTACTAAAATTTATTTTCTATTTTTTAGTTGGATTTTCTATAAAAGCGTATTTTGTTAGTTTTTTTTTTTAAGCTGTTATTTATTTCTTAAATACCTTATAAATATAGGACGTATTGTAACATTTGATTCTATTATATAACTATACTGAGACCTTAGAACTTATATCTCAAGGTGGGTGGCGCATTTACGTTATAGATGTCTATGGGCTCCAGTAACCACTTAACATCAGGTGGGCTGTCAGCTCGTCCACACATCTAAGCAATAAAAAAATAATAAAAAAATCTTAGTGTACTAGATCCCCATGCTTACACAATGTAAAATGAAATATACTCACTTATAACAGTAAAATTGATTCTCAAATTCCTTGTCGGGGAGTTCTTGAAGTCAACTCTGCAGCGATAGACTCCGGCGTCCGTGGACACAACGCTGTCAACGAACAGCACTGCCGGTGAAGCGGCTGCTCGGAAATAGGCTCTGGAACCAAACCCCGACGGAGACGACCAGAGCTTGGGCTGATTTGCAAGGCGACCCCGGACGTCGTAACTAAAAACATTGGGATTATCACAAAATGGCCTCTTCACCTAATTAACTACGGGATCAAGTAATTTTTTTTTATTGCCTTTGTAGGCAGACGAGCATCCAGTCCACCTGATGGTGGGTGGTTACCATCGCCCATGGACTTCAGCAATGCCAGGGGCAGAGCCAAGCCGCTGCCTACCGATAAATCACAATACCGACATTTTTCCTTGTAAAGGTTATATAAACTATTTAAAAGTACTTCTACAGTTTAATCTCACGATTGAGCAGTCATCCGTGATATCTAGAACTAGAAAATTATCGAAACGTTGAGAACAATAATATAAAAATAATAAACCTGAATGTAGAGTCTAGTAAACTAAATGTGTGTGCAAATCGCAAATGCACAACCTTGAGATTATTCCCTGATTTTTACGGTAGAGAGATGCTATACTATGCCCCTGGCTGGCTGACCATCATCATGGTCGTATGCACGTCTATCTACAAGATCAATAAAAATATTATATATTTATACGAGAACGGAATCCATCTTTACTACCTGAGATAGCAACATACGTACAGATTACGCTCCCAAATATAATGTTTGCCACATACCATCCGGCTATGGAATCAACTGCCTTCCGTAATGCATTTTGTTCGTTGTAACACATTAGACTTCCAACGAGGTTTGATAAGACTACTCAGTGGCAACCAGCGATTTGACTGTACTGGTGGCATTGTTTATATCCATTAGTGACGGTAACCACTGACCTGTAGGTAGGCTATATACTTGTTTGCCTTTAAAATAAATAAAATAAGACTTCCAGTGCCCAGTACGTCTATCAAAAACGTCATATAAATCCCAGCCAAGCTTGTAGAAGAAAAAAAATCGGTTGTCTGTAAAGTCGGTTTACTGAAAATACTGATGTTTCATACAGGTTTCATTTTTCAATTATCGCAAATATCGTTGCTATAAACAATTGACACCACATTCACTTTTTACTGAACTTCATACTTGACGAAAACATGTAAATTTATTATTGTATAGCAGCTGTCCACGCGGATGCATCGCTCACTCAAGTCGCCTCAGAGCGAGGTAACGCCGCATGAGTCATGTTTTTTCGTGCGTGCAGCCGGCTCTATCGAATTAGAAGACGTTGTCTTGTCAAAAACTTAAGAATAAATTAGTAAGATAAATATTACGAAATATACCTATAAAGAGGCTCTCCATCAGTCTCCTTAAACCACAAGACCATGGAGACGTGATCTTCTGCGGCCAGGGGCTGGATATCGCAGGGCAATGAAGCTTTCTTCCCTAGCACTCCCTGCGCGTGCGCCGTTGGTACTGTAACAATACACTAAATTCAGAAACATAATAATTAAGTAGAATCAACCTTAAGATCAGAGACGGTAGAGTACCAGAGAGAGAGAGAGAGAGAGAGAGAGAGTCTATCTCGGTCGCAGTGATCTGGAAGTGTCTAAGAAGCTACCAGCGTCAAAAACAAACTGTGGATATTTCATTTTAATGCACTAAGCCAGTGTACGGAGCCTATATCCCAGACAGTGTCAAGCTGCTACCAGATTCCATAAATCTCGTCATCTTAGAAAGTTATCTTATAAGAGAAGGCTCCAGAAACAAAACAATCTAAAAACGAGTAAGAGATGTTGACTGAATTAATAATTATCCAATCACTCTCTTTGTGTATATATAGGTAAATATTATAGTCATGATTGATCTTGGCCACGAGGCCAAGGACCGCAGCAGATGGAGAACAGTTGTACATGAGAGAGTGATGCAGCAGGCGAGTCACGACCCTCTATAATGAAGACAGCGATGCAAGGAGGGGACTCTATAATTAAATAAAACCTAGTAGCAGTAGGCAGCAGTATTACTGGTGGTAGGACCTCTTGTAAGCCCGCACGGGTAGGTACCACCACCCCGCCTATTTCTGCCGTGAAGCAGAAATGGGTTTCGGTTTGAAGGGTGGGGCAGCCGTTGTAGCTATACTGCGACCTTAGAACTTATATCTCAAGGTGGGTGGCGCATTTACGTTGTACATGTCTATGGGCTCCAGTAACCACTTAACACCAGGTGGGCTGTGAGCTCGCCCACCCTTCAAAGCACAAAAAAAAGCAGCTGACTGTGTGAGTGACGCTTACTACTCACCATCAAGTGAGCCGTATGCTCGTCTGCCCACATAGACAAACGAAATAAAAATAGTAAATCGAACACTTTCATAGCAACGTATGATGTCATATCGTGTGGCTAATGTGTATTTATTATATTTGTGTTATCTATAGTTCAGTCTTTAGCTATTTTGGATTTCATTGACGTCCCACGTAGTCTTCTTTTTCTCCACCTTATCCCACTAGGTGGGGTCGGCACAGCTAATTTTTCTCTTCTATTCTCTTCTATCAGCCGTCATCTCAACACTCACTCCTCTCTCTCTCATATCGTCTTTCACACACTCCATCCATGTCTTCTTCGGTCGACCTCATCTACCTTGCACTACCATTTCCATACATCTCCTAGTCACATGCATGTTCTCTCTACGCATCACATGTCCATACCACCCTAACCGTCCGCTCCTTAATTTGTTTCTTACCGGAGCCACTTTCACACTTCCTCTGATATACTCATTCGTGACGTCCCACGTAGTGAAGCTTCAAATAAACTATGATCACATGTTAACGTGTATTGTTTTGTGTGGTAGCCACTGAAGCGTGACGTCTCTGTTACGTGACGGTTCGCACGGTGTCGCGTGTCATTATCGATTTTCGCTGTGAGATCTGTGTTCACAGGGATATTATTACTGAAATACTAATTGGGTAAAACACTAGATATTTTGGGAAGTTGCTTAAATAAATTAAAGGATAAATAAACATATTTATTGCTTCGACGATAATTAGTTGTGTGGTGCCTACAATAGCACCACACGATTTCTTCCTTTGGGTGTTGTGGAAGTACGGTGACCATCCGTACTGTTTTCGGCAGGACAGTGCTCTGTTTTTAAGACGCTGTCCTTTTTTTTTTGAAACATAACTGTCCTCTTTTTTATTTATTTGTACTGTTTTTCAATGATATTTCAATTACTTTTCTACTAAAAACGTGTTATATAATAATTAAGTTCGCTCAATTTCGACTGAATATGGGCCATATTATATGGTCATAGTTTTTAATAACCGATCTCGTATTAATAAACGTATTAATATTTTTTGTAGGTTTTTTTTTGTTCCTTGTCCTGTCTTTTTCATACAAAAATAATGGTCACCGTACGTAGAAGGCCAGTAAAGGAGAACGCGCAGCTGCCTTTACTGGGTGTTAAATGAACCTACTGCTATCGATCAAATTCAGTGGTGGCACGAAACATTGTAAGCCCCCACAAATAGGTACCATCCATTCAAACTACTTTTGAAAGCAGTCATGCGTATCGGTTTTCGTGGTGGAACTGTCAGTGGCAGAGGCATTAACACGGTGACGGATCCGCTACTATGGGCTCCGTTAACCACTTATTACCAAGTAGTATATATTCGTTCATAACATGAAAATTACCAATCATTTTTTTTTCTCTGATGGGTGTACGAGCTCACGGCCCACCTAGTGTTAAGTGGTTACTGGAGCCCGTAGACATCTACGACGTAAATGCGCCACCCACCTTGAGATATAAGTTCCAAGGTCTCAAGTATAGTTACAACGGCTGCCTTACCCTCCAAACCGAAACGCATTATTGCTTCACGGCAGAAATAGGCAGTGTGTAATAGGCAGTATCGTGTGTCAAGATATAGAGATTTTACTGGTAGTAGGATGTCGTGTGAGTCCGCACAACGTTGTCTATTTCTGCCGTGAAGCAGTAATGAATTTCGGTTTGAAATGTTGAGCAGCCGTTGTACTGAACTGAGGCCTTAGAACTCAAGTCTTGAGACAAGGTGGATAGCAACATTTACATTGTAGATGTCTATGGGCCCCGGTAACCAGTTAACACCAGGTGACCGTGAGCTTGTCCAAGCAATGAAGCAATAAATAAAAAATTAATAAAAATGTAGAGTTTAATTTGTAGAGCGTCCTAAACATGCTCACGGTTGGTAGTCTATAAACAATTTGTTAAAATACAACACATATATATTTACATTGACTTCCACGGTGAAGGAATAACATCGTGAAATAAAAATGAAACCCGCAAAATTATAATTTGCGTAATTACTGGTGGTAGGACCTCTTGTGGGTCCGCGCGGGTGGGTACCACTACCCCGCCTATTTCTGCCGTGAAGCAGTAATGCGTTTCGGTTTGAAGGGTGGGGCATCCGTTGTAACTATACTTGAGACCTTAGAACTTGTATCTCAAGGTGGGTGGCGCATTTATGTTGTGGATGTCTATCGGCTCCAGTAACCACTTAACACCAGGTGGGTTGTGAGCTCGTCCGACCATCTAAGCAATAAAAAAAAAACATGGAGTTTTGTTTGCCTACAAATGTAGGCTTCCACAAAAGTTTAATAACACAAAACGTTTCACAGAATCAAATCGAATTGAATTTAAATTTTCAAAGCTTCAGAAACAATATTACGAGTAAACTTATTACCAAACAAGAACAGAGTTGTTTTATATTATTTTAATATTGAACCGAATATTATAAGACTGTGAAGTAATGTTATATGATAACTCGACTTGAACTAATTACAGGCGTATGTATGTATATTTAAACTAAATTATTCATTAATTTGCCAAACTTTATGCCCGCACTGAATTGTTAACTATGTATAAATTTACAGAATGTAGCATATATTAATAGTTTTAATATTACATTTGATGTTTTTAAATAATTTTAAACCAAATATTTATGTGTCGGAGACGGTCATTAGTTTGGTAGCAAAATGAAACGCAGCACGATTCTCGAGAGGTGACAACACAATCGTGATGTCATTGGAACTCGGCTAACTTCGTACTACGACAGAGCCTAGTCGATGGAAGCTCGCATAGAGGCCATTTCACTTACCAACCAGCCTTCCCGAAGAGCGTTGCTCCGTCCTAAGAACTGTCACTCGTTTTCGTTTGCTAACGCCAAGAGATCATTTCTAAATTGTTCTAAGATAACAAACGTGTTTTGTTTACTCAATATTTCTCTTAACTCGATCACCCTATTGGCCCTGTGATGCCTGACGATGGTGTTAATAATGCATCTGACATATGTATGATTTGGGTGCACACTGTTTGTCTACCTATTTATAACGTAAGAAGTATCGTACAAAAGTGCGTATGAGCCGTCAACTGTTCGGCAGTTTGCGTACCCTTGTACAAAGCTATATACTAACTGCAGTTACACGCCGCATATGTACAGTACTGTCATGGCGTACAACATGCTCCCAGACTTAAAACACTCATTTCGAAATGCACTTGTGAATCTAATTTACACTACATATTTAATATATAAGATGTTTTAAGAATAAGATTTTTTACAGAAAGTAGACAATTCAGAGTTTGTAAATAATGACTGAACGATCATTATAATTGTATTATTAATTATTAGAATAGTGAGAGACACGAACTCATTAAATAATCCAGTCTTGCTTTGACATTTCGGTAGAAAAATAAAGAATCGAGAACAATAACGAATATTAATTAAATATGTGTATGTACAGATTATTATGTATATGTTGATCCTATGAACGTGACTCTGTTTGCTGAAATATCCAATTCGGCGTACACTATGTCTTGAAGATGCCGCTGTGCGAAATACAATCAGTTAGAAATCAGAAATCATTTTTTTCATCAAAAGTATTACATTTTAAGGTGTTTCAAGCCCACGAAAAATCTTAGCACAATAGACACTCGAAGAACGATGTCTGAATGAATAATCATAACGGAATTATATTTTTGAATAGTTGAGAACGTTCATTTACATTTAAATACTGATCTTAACGAAACAAAATGTCAGAATAATGACGAGACTCATCGAGACGGAAACTGAATTGATTTAAGGGATGATTACAAATTATTACTTTTTTTTATGATTGATGGTTTACTGGTGGCCCGGAGGCCTTTCCCGTTTCAAAAAGACAGGTGGGCGAGCAAGGGCTCAGCCAGAAGGGCCGAGATTTGCTAACAGCTACTCGAGCGCCTCCAAGGAAGACCTAACAACTCAAGAGTATCTAACTGCTTCGCGAATGAATCTACTACCGGATCAGAATCGTGACCCGCTGAGAAGATCCGGTGAGAAACGCAGTGGGCTGATGTTTAGGTTAGGTTGCACGTCGAACTCTTTGCGGAGTTCGATGAGTACGGTTACCGGGGTCTTTACTCCTGCTGTTAGAGCGGAAGGCGTCGAAATTATTACTATATTTGCTTTTTT